GGGAGGCGGTGTCGCTGCTGAGCCGCGAGCTGCAGAAGAGCTGCCGCTCCCGGGGCGGCCTCTCCCTGCTGGGCTACTGCCACTACCAGCTGCAGGACTTCGCGGCGGCGGCCGAGTGCTACGAGCAGCTGGTGGCGCTGCACCCCGAGCTGGACGCGTACCGGCTCTACCAGGCGCAGGCACTCTACAAGGCCGGGCTCTACGCCGAGGCCCTGCGGGCCGCCAGCCCGCTGCTGGACCTCCCCGCCTACCAGGGCCGGGCCCTGCGCCTCCAGGCCGCTGTCCACTATGCCCAGGGCGACCTCCCGGCGGCCAAGAGCCTGGTGGAGGAGGCCCTCGCCGCCGCTGCCGACGGCGGCCACGGCACAGCCGAAGACCCCTCGGAGCGGGCTGACGCCGAGATCAACCTGGGCTGCCTGCTGTACCGGCAGGGGCGGCACGAAGAGGCCAGCGGCAAGTTTGCCGGTGCCATGCAAGTGTTGGGTTACTGCCCTGAGCTGTCATACAACATGGCGCTGTGCTGCTACGCGGCCAAGCAGTATGCCCCTGCCCTCAAACACATCTCCGATATCATAGAGCGCGGCATCCACCAGCACCCAGAGCTCAGTGTGGGCATGACCACTGAGGGCATTGATGTCCGCAGCGTAGGCAACACCCTGCTCCTGCACCGCACAGCCCTGGTGGAGGCCTTCAACCTCAAGGCAGCCATTGAGTACCAACTGCACAACCTGAAAGCGGCCCAGGAGGCGCTCACAGATATGCCACCGAGGGCCGAAGAGGAGTTGGATCCAGTCACACTGCACAACCAAGCACTAATGAACATGGACAGCCAGCCCACTGAAGGGTTTGAGAAACTGCAGTTTCTTCTGCTGCAGAACCCCTGTCCGCCAGAAACTTTTGGAAACTTGTTACTCCTCTATTGCAAACATCAGTACTATGACCTGGCAGCTGATGTGCTGGCAGAGAATGCCCATCTGACTTACAAACTCCTCACACCTTACCTGTACAACTTCTTGGATGCCATTATTACTTGTCAAACTGCCCCTGAGGAGGCTTTCCACAAGTTAGATGATTCAGCAGGGACACTGACTGAGCAGCTGAGAAAACTCACGAAGCAGGTACAGGAAGCTAGACAAAATTGGGATGATGAAGCTGTGAAAAAAGCAGTTAATGAGTATGATGAGACCCTGGAAAAATATGTACCTATCTTGATGGCCCAGGCAAAGATCTACTGGGACATGAAGAATTACGCAATGGTAGAAAAGATTTTCCGCAAATCGGTGGAGTTCTGTAATGAACATGAGGTGTGGAAGCTCAATGTGGCTCACGTGCTCTTCATGCAAGAGAACAAGTATAAAGAGGCTATTAGCTTCTATGAGCCAATAGTTAAGAAGCACTATGACAACATTCTCCACGTCAGTGCTATTGTGTTAGCTAACCTCTGTGTCTCCTACATCCTCACAAGTCAGAATGAAGATGCAGAGGAATTGCTGAGGAAAATTGAGAAAGGAGAAGAGCAGCTGTCCTATAATAATCCTGATAAAAATGTCTACCATCTCTGCATTGTCAATCTAGTCATTGGTACCCTCTACTGTGTGAAGGGAAACTATGACTTTGGTATTTCAAGGGTCATTAAAAGCCTGGAGCCATATAACAAAAAACTGAGCACTGACACATGGTATTACGCCAAACGGTGTTTCCTGTCCTTGCTGGAGAACATGTCGAAGCACATGATTATGCTACACGACAGCGTTATTCAAGAGTGCGTTCAGTTTCTGAAGCAGTGTGAGCTGTATGGAAGAAACATCCCAGCTGTCATCGAGCAGCCCCTTGAAGAGAAGAGGATGCACAGTGGGAAGAATACCGTTACCTATGAAGCCAGGCTTCTGAGGGCCCTGATGTATAAGATTATTGGGTGGACTGCATAACATGTTCCTGTACAGTAGAGATGAGAACTTTCTGTCTCTACTTTTCTTAGGCTTGTGAGGTGATGCTCACCCTGGTAGTCCACAGTGATACAGGTTTTTCTTCATTGCTTACCTTTAAAGATTTTGCCCTGTATT